TCCAGGGAAGCTGCCGTTCGATTCATGGTTGCAACTCCCGCCGCGCTTTGAATATATTTTATCATATCAGATCATGTTAAGCGCGTGCAGCGAGTTTGACTAAGAGGCCTTTCTATCCACATAACTTATTCGGTGGCGCGCCTTCCGTGAAATCAGTGAATCAGTCGCTCACAGATGTTCAAGACAACAATATTAGTATAGGGGAATGTCGCCCCAAGTTCTGGTGCAAAATAATGCAAAAGTTAGTTCCTTCCATTAAGGCGAATAAAAACAGAAATAATTATAGATACGTTTTACTGTCCGGAGAACTTCTCCGGACAGTAAAACGTATCTATAATTATTTCTGTTTGGAAATTGTAAGAATGGACGATCTTCTCCGGGAGAAGATCGTCCAGAGACCAGAGCAGGGCCTTGTTTACATAGAAGGCAAGTCAAATGGTACAATTCTGAGAATAAACCGGGGCGACATTGGGCCTTGGGGTGACATTCTTACAATTTCCAAACAATTTTTCTAGAAACCTCCTTGTCCCTCATCCATTCGTATGTGATGGCATGTGCAACTAATAATTCTGATGACAGGCCATAATGCCTCTGCAACGAACTGGATACCACCTCTTAGCTAATATTAGATTCTTTCGAGTAATTTTACAAGGCCTTAGCATTTACTATATTCTTGTATGGGTTACGTGCGAAACTGCAAAATATTGTAACCCCGCTATTATTATTAGCTACCACGTCACAACACTGCACAGAGCACCCTGCCCCCCTCCCCCCTCCCCCCCCCGCTTCCTACACCCCTGCACAATTCACAGAGCACCCCCCCCCCCCCCGCTTCCTACACCTCTGCACAATTCACAGAGCACCCCCCCCCCCCCCGCTTCCTACACCTCTGCACAATTCACAGAGCACCCCCCTCCCCGATTCCTACACCCCTGCACAATTCACAGAGCACCCCCCTCCCCGATTCCTACACCCCTGCACAATTCACAGAGCACCCCCCTCCCCGCTTCCTACACCTCTGCACAATTCACAGAGCACCCCCCCCCCCCCGCTTCCTACACCCCTGCACAATTCACAGAGCACCCTGCCCCCCTCCCCCCCCCCGCTTCCTACACCCCTGCACAATTCACAGAGCACCCCCCCCCCGCTTCCTACACCCCTGCACAATTCACAGAGCACCCTGCCCCCCTCCCCCCTCCCCCCTCCCCCCCCGCTTCCTACACCCCTGCACAATTCACAGAGCACCCTGCCCCCCTCCCCCCTCCCCCCCCGCTTCCTACACCCCTGCACAATTCACAGAGCACCCCCCCCCGCTTCCTACACCCCTGCACACTGCACAGAGCACCCTGCCCCCTTCCCCCCTCCCCCCCCCGCTTCCTACACCTCTGCACAATTCACAGAGCACCCCCCCCCGCTTCCTACACCTCTGCACAATTCACAGAGCACCCCCCCCCCCGCTTCCTACACCCCTGCACAATTCACAGAGCACCCTGCCCCCCTCCCCCCTCCCCCCCCGCTTCCTACACCCCTGCACAATTCACAGAGCACCCCCCCCCCCCCGCTTCCTACACCCCTGCACAATTCACAGAGCACCCTGCCCCCCTCCCCCCTCCCCCCCGCTTCCTACACCTCTGCACAATTCACAGAGCACCCCCCCCCCGCTTCCTACACCTCTGCACAATTCACAGAGCACCCCCCCCCCGCTTCCTACACCCCTGCACAATTCACAGAGCACCCTGCCCCCCTCCCCCCTCCCCCCCGCTTCCTACACCTCTGCACAATTCACAGAGCACCCCCCCCCCCCGCTTCCTACACCCCTGCACAATTCACAGAGCACCCTGCCCCCCTCCCCCCTCCCCCCCCGCTTCCTACACCCCTGCACAATTCACAGAGCACCCCCCCCCCCCCGCTTCCTACACCTCTGCACAATTCACAGAGCACCCCCCCCCCGCTTCCTACACCCCTGCACACTGCACAGAGCACCCTGCCCGCCTCCCCCCCCGCTTCCTACACCCCTGCACAATTCACAGAGCACCCTCCCCCCTCCCCCCCCCCGCTTCCTACACCCCTGCACAATTCACAGAGCACCCCCCCCCCGCTTCCTACACCCCTGCACAATTCACAGAGCACCCTGCCCCCCTCCCCCCCCGCTTCCTACACCCCTGCACACTGCACAGAGCACCCTGCCCCCCTCCCCCCTCCCCCCTCCCCCCCCGCTTCCTACACCCCTGCACAATTCACAGAGCACCCCCCCCCCGCTTCCTACACCCCTGCACACTGCACAGAGCACCCTGCCCCCCTCCCCCCCCCGCTTCCTACACCCCTGCACACTGCACAGAGCACCCTGCCCCCCTCCCCCCCCGCTTCCTACACCCCTGCACAATTCACAGAGCACCCTGCCCCCCTCCCCCCCCCCCCCCCCCCCGCTTCCTACACCCCTGCACAATTCACAGAGCACCCCCCCCCGCTTCCTACACCCCTGCACAATTCACAGAGCACCTTGCCCCCCACCCCCAAGGTACCCCCCCCCCCCCCGCTTCCTACACCCCTGCACACTGCACAGAGCACCTTGCCCCCCACCCCCAAGGTACCCCCCCCCCCCCGCTTCCTACACCCCTGCACACTGCACAGAGCACCTTGCCCCCCCCCCCCCCCCCGTGTAGTATACTACAAACTGTGAGATGTATCAGATCGAAACCTAGCCATCAGTTCAAATAACGAATTTTGAATGTTAAAATTTGTTTAATACTTACCAAAGAAAGGAATAGCAATCGCACAGTGGGCCCGCTGTGCATCTATTACAGCAATAACACTTTTCATGGCCTTGAAGTTTCGGTAGACCTTTGGCCATAAAATCTAGAAGAAGCTGTTTAATATTAGCAACTTGAATTGTAAATTACAGAAAATTCGTTTCGTACATTTTAAGAGAAACTATAATATTTTGGTAATTTCCATTTCAGGTTGACCACATGAATGAGACATAATAACAACCGTTTTAAATCAAAAATAGAGAATATAAGATTGATCATTAAAGCGTTAAAAACAGTCAAAGAACCGAAAATCAAAAATCCACATAATCAACAGCTAAATATCCACCGAGAAAAGCCATTTATTTTTATCGTCCCCAACTCTTTACTGCTCGTTCTCTTTGTCTTGCTGAAATAATTGTTTAGCAGTGAGTGTTATGAGTGTAATCGGAGTACAATCCGCAAGAATTTATGTCTAAATTGGAAGCTAAAGTAGACACATTTAAAAATCCCCATAATAAAACTGATTGATCAAAAATGAAAATAACACTCAACGAACCTCGACAACCTCCTCAACTTTGGCACAGGTTTCTAGTTCAATTTCCACATCTTCCTTGGCTACAGATTGGCATTCCTCTGATTCGACCTTGTCTTCGTCATGGTTCTCTTTGGCATCTTCCTTATCATCTATTACTGGCAATTCAGGGGCTTGTTCTTTTTGCTCTTCCTGGTCTTCTTTTTGGTCTACTTCTTCTTTCCGGTCTTCTTCTTTCTCCTTTTCCCCGTCCTTTTCCGGTTCCGCATCTATCTCCGGTTCTTCCTCTCCCTCTGGTACGTGGTGTTTGGTTATATCGTTACACTTTCTAATATGCTTCCTGCACACCTGGTTCTCTACTTGCAGAGCACGGCACAGTCTTTCTAATGTTTCGTTCTTGTTCTTGCTATTTCGCAGCTGTGAAGAAACATTCACATATTAGTAGTAGTAGTAAATCTTTCAAAGTACGAAATATCTCTTTAAAAGAGCATCCTAGGCACCTTATAGATATCAAAACGCATAAAAAAGAAAACAAAAACATCAACCATCTTCTAACTTCTTCCACTCCTCCCTATCTAAAGCTAAAAATCTAAGGTCTTCGAAAACAGTCAAATTCTTAAGTCTAATATCAAGATTTCTTCTAGTCAAGTCTTTTCTAATAACATCTAATAAGTTTAAACATGGTCTACCCCGTCTCCCTTCCATAAAAATATCAGAATTTATAGCAAATAACATAGAGGTGTATGCTGGTGAGTCTTCCTGTCCTCATTCACATATTACAAAATAAAATGTGCACACTAAACTTATTATCATGAGATCAAATTGCTTCTATCCTAATATCAACATCGAGAATCTACAATTTCAGAATATAAAATGATAAAGAAGGAGAGAATAACGCACCTCTTCAGCCATGGTGAACATACTCTTGCTCACTTGCTCGTGTTTACCTTTCCAGGATAGGTTTTCCTTCTCCAACTTTTTAATTGTCTTGCTCATCTTGTTCATTTCTTGTTTAAAGGTGGCAAAGACATCGTTAGACCTGATTAAATACAATTTGTAAACCTTTGGGGGGTTTGGAAATGGAGTGGATTCTCTAAAAATAAACAATGAATTATAACAAACATGGGGAGTGTCCAGCCCAAAAATACCCATTCCCAAAATAGAAATTTGAGGTAAAGTTGGGTTTTTTGGGTTTTTAAGAAAAAATGTTAGAATTGATTTTATTTACACCTACATTCATTTGAGACCAAGTTAATTTGTTATGTTATCCTCCATCATCCCCATTGCCAATAATTATATGTGTCATTTGTATTATTTACTAGAGTAAGGAAGTAAAACAATTCCCTTAAAATCAATACGTAAGTTAAAAGACCTAACAATTCTAATAGGTGTATACTGTATAATATATATTATACTACTGAGCCCCGGTAGGAAAAGACGTGTCGATATGAAAGGATTATTACCTGCCATCAGCAACATACTATAAGAAAAGTTACGTGGCTGTGTAATTAACTTATCCACCAAGATAGAAAGCATATCATGACATCAGCTGCATTTATTTTATTTAGGGGGAGGTCGGTGAACTCCCCCTGAAAAAATTTAAAAACAAAATAAACCTCAAAACAAACATTCCCAAAATGAAGATTTGAGGTAAAATGTGTTTTTTTGGGGTTGGACACCAAACATTATTTGGTTAGTTAAGTTTCCAGGGATAGAGAAGATTCTAGATGAAACGGACCGTGTGAGAGTTTTCTGGAACTCCTCAAACTTTTCAGTGTACAGGGAGAGTTGGTTACGCAGCTCCTGCTCTTGTTCTACCAGCAGCTCGTTCTTCTTCTTCTCTTTTACATACTCCTCTAGCAACTGAGATATAATATAACTGGTTATAATAATGTCTAAGGAAGCTGCAGAAAAAAGGTAAGTTGAAAATGGGTTTGATAGATGTGTACTTGGTATTTATTTCAATGCTAAAGAAAAAGATACAAATCTAATATTCTATATAATTAATTCTGCCTCAAATCTCACATTTCTTTTCTCTGTGAGATCTTTCTGCTTATCCTCAGCACCTTGCATAGCTTGTTGAGCTAACTTTGTTTCCCACAGTTGTATTTCCAGACTTTTTTGCTTCAAAATCTTCTCTATGTGCTGCCAAGAAAATTAAAACTAGTTAAACAAACAAGCAAGTAGGGATTTACTCCGAACATTACAATTTCAAATTCCAGATCCCTAACCCGGCCCAGTAACAAACCTCCTCTCTTGTCCGATATTCCTCCTAACCCGGCCCAGTAACAAACCTCCTCTCTTGTCCGATATTCCTCCTAACCCGGCCCAGTAACAAACCTCCTCTCTTGTCCGATATTCCTCCTAACCCGGCCCAGTAACAAACCTCCTCTCTTGTTTAATATTCCTCCTAACCCGGCCCAGTAACAAACCTCCTCTCTTGTTTAATATTCCTCCTAACCCGGCCCAGTAACAAACCTCCTCTCTCCTAACCCGGCCCAGTAACAAACCTCCTCTCTTGTTTAATATTCCTCCTAACCCGGCCCAGTAACAAACCTCCTCTCTTGTCCGATATTCCTCCTAGCCCGGCCCAGTAACAAACCTCCTCTCTTGTCCGATATTCCTCCTAACCCGGCCCAGTAACAAACCTCCTCTCTTGTCCGATATTCCTCCCTAACCCGGCCCAGTAACAAACCTCCTCTCTTGTCCGATATTCCTCCTAACCCGGCCCAGTAACAAACCTCCTCTCTTGTTTAATATTCCCCCTAACCCGGCCCAGTAACAAACCTCCTCTCTAGTCCGATATTCCCCCTAACCCGGCCCAGTAACAAACCTCCTCTCTTGTCCGGTATTCCTCCTAACCCGGCCCAGTAACAAACCTCCTCTCTTGTCCGATATTCCTCCTAACCCGGCCCAGTAACAAACCTCCTCTCTTGTCCGATATTCCTCCTAACCCGGCCCAGTAACAAACCTCCTCTCTTGTCCGATATTCCTCCTAACCCGGCCCAGTAACAAACCTCCTCTCTTGTCCGATATTCCTCCTAACCCGGCCCAGTAACAAACCTCCTCTCTTGTCCGATATTCCTCCTAACCCGGCCCAGTAACAAACCTCCTCTCTTGTTTAATATTCCTCCTAACCCGGCCCAGTAACAAACCTCCTCTCTTGTCCGATATTCCTCCTAACCCGGCCCAGTAACAAACCTCCTCTCTTGTCCGATATTCCTCCTAACCCGGCCCAGTAACTAACCTCCTCTCTTGTCCGATATTCCTCCTAACCCGGCCCAGTAACAAACCTCCTCTCTTGTCCGATATTCCCCCTAACCCGGCCCAGTAACAAACCTCCTCTCTTGTCCGATATTCCTCCTAACCCGGCCCAGTAACAAACCTCCTCTCTTGTCCGATATTCCTCTTAACCCGGCCCAGTAACAAACCTCCTCTCTTGTCCGATATTCCTCCTAACCCGGCCCAGTAACAAACCTCCTCTCTTGTCCGATATTCCTCCTAACCCGGCCCAGTAACAAACCTCCTCTCTTGTCCGATATTCCTCCTAACCCGGCCCAGTAACAAACCTCCTCTCTTGTCCGATATTCCTCCTAACCCGGCCCAGTAACAAACCTCCTCTCTTGTCCGATATTCCTCCTAACCCGGCCCAGTAACAAACCTCCTCTCTTGTCCGATATTCCCCCTAACCCGGCCCAGTAACAAACCTCCTCTCTTGTCCGATATTCCTCCTAACCCGGCCCAGTAACAAACCTCCTCTCTTGTCCGATATTCCTCCTAACCCGGCCCAGTAACAAACCTCCTCTCTTGTCCGATATTCCTCTTAACCCGGCCCAGTAACAAACCTCCTCTCTTGTCCGATATTCCTCCTAACCCGGCCCAGTAACAAACCTCCTCTCTTGTCCGATATTCCTCCTAACCCAGCCCAGTAACAAACCTCCTCTCTTGTCCGATATTCCTCCTAACCCGGCCCAGTAACAAACCTCCTCTCTTGTCCGATATTCCCCCTAACCCGGCCCAGTAACAAACCTCCTCTCTTGTCCGATATTCCTCCTAACCCGGCCCAGTAACAAACCTCCTCTCTTGTCCGATATTCCTCCTAACCCGGCCCAGTAACAAACCTCCTCTCTTGTCCGATATTCCTCCTAACCCGGCCCAGTAACAAACCTCCTCTCTTGTCCGATATTCCTCCTAACCGGCCCAGTAACAAACCTCCTCTCTTGTCCGATATTCCTCCTAACCCGGCCCAGTAACAAACCTCCTCTCTTGTCCGATATTCCTCCAGGAGACTCTTGAGTTTGCTTGCTAGCTCCATGTTATCCTCCCTCAATGTCTGGTTAGACTTCTGGTTGTCCTGCATCTTCACGTTTATATCGTTTATCGTCGTCTGTAATTTCAGCAATGTGAGGTGAGGAGTAGTTGACGAAGCCAAAATAACGGAATTTAATTTGGTTAATCTCACCTCATTCCTTGAAAACTTTTTAAATAACGCCTCATAAATATAATCTTCCTTTTTTAATCCGTAAACTTGATTTGGAGCCTCACTTTACATAATTAAAAGCACCCAAAAAAACCTGAAACTTGGCGGCAATTTCTTGTCTCTTCTTGTCCTCCTCCTTATTCCGCTGATCGTATTCCTCCTGTTGACACAAAATTAAAATATACGCTAAATTACATTATATATACGATGTAATTGATAATTCTACCAAATTAATTGATAATTAATAGTGGGTACAACTTTTAATTTCTGCTCCATTTAGATGATAGTTATCGCCAAAAATGATTCAGCCACGATATTATCATTAGTTCACCCACTTTTTCAGTGCAAATACATAAACCTCACATTTTTTATCTCATTAGCTTTCGGAAGTTCCGAAAGCCCATTCTATAAATTCAATTAGCTAAGTGGATAACTGATGAGGAAGAAAGTGAGTGTTGGAGTAAGTTCAAGCTTTTAACACAGCTACAATTATTAACATTCCAAAAAGTTTGCACAACATATTATGTACATTCCACTGTGTGTGATAATACACAATACAATTTAAAATCCGTGCAGCTTAGTACTCTGAATATATAGTGCAGAAGACAGTTGTCAACAAGGCCGGGATTACAGGCAGAAACTGGTTACCAGGCTAGTGTGATAACAGGCTGACTGGTTCAGGGCAACTTCCAGTACATTTCAGGAATACTTTTTAGTAGCGCTTGTGTTATACATACAACCGTTCAGTGAAATTGTATAAAACTACGGTACAAAATGTATCTAAAATTAGGATTCTCAAGTCCACGAAGATATGCGAGAGTGTTAGCTGTGGTGAATTTACTGAAGAACAATGATAAACAATTTAAAATGTAGCTCATTATTCTATTAAACATTAAACTGCAGATATTTAATATATTCGTGTGCACTCTTGTTCGTGTGCAGTCTCGCAGTGTGTGTAAGATGAAAATATGATTATTAAAATTGTTGATAGTAAGCAATCTAAATATTTCTTCAAGCACAGTTTATAAAGTTGATATATATATATTTATAATGCTGTCAACATATGTTGTATATATATATACTGTATAACATAATTTGATACAATTTTGACGTGTCCGTCAGAAAATTGATACATTAAAGATTAATTTTAACTGAGATTCTTCACTGAGTAGAACAGAGAAAAAAAAGAACTTAAAATGTATGTATATTATTATATGGGGGTAAAGTTCTATTGCTTAAATCAGATTTGCTAGAATGCATTACAATATTTTATCAGTAATTGCAAATACTAGTGCAGTGGTGCCACTACGACGACACTAGAAGTCTTCAAGTTATCATTGTTTGTTTATCTTTATCGCTGTACCAAAACTTCAACCTCTTGATAGTTACATATTATATAATTCTTTTAGCTTTTAGAGAAATGTCAGGCAATTTTCTGATTATGTACTAAACTTGTTAAACTTCCTACTGATCATCTTAGAGTATAATTAAGAGATTACCCATTTTCAAATCTATTTTACCGTCGTTTTATCAGCAGTTTATATATATGTAAATATTATGTGAGACTGTTTAGTTAGCCCTTTGTACGACAGCAAGTAAACATTTAATCTTTCACAGGCTCGTATACCCACTAATTTTCTAATTATATGTAATTATTTTAGTGTGACGTGAATCCTGCTTTTCAGGCTCCAAACTCCAAACTCCTGACTAATGTACAGTCGAAGAGTAATTTATTATTTGTGATTTAAAATGACCAGCCCTATAACGGGTATTATAGGGCTGGTCCCTATAATACCCTATATATTATATATATACCACAAACCTTAAGACACTTGACATGACGTTGTAACTATCTACACAAACTTTGAGACACTTGACATGACGTTGTAACTCTCTACACAAACCTTAAGACACTTGACATGACGTTGTAACTCTCTACACAAACCTTGAGACACTTGACATGACGTTGTAACTCTCTACACAAACCTTGAGACACTTGACATGACGTTGTAACTCTCTACACAGGCTCTCCAGCTTGCTCTTAGCCAGGTTAGCCCGGTTGTAGGAAGCCTGGAGGTGGTCCCGCTCATCCACAATCTGATCATGTTTCTTCTTCACATCGTCATGTTTTCCTTGCATCATTTTGTTCTGATGTGCCTGGATAGTAGTGACTTTGAAAGAAAGTATAGAATTGGTAATCAAACTGATTCAAGTTCGACTTGGATAACAGAAACTGGATACATTATTATTGCTGGTTAACACCAGCAATAAAAACTGTTCAAGAACTGTTCAAGGTCAAATGGGGGGGAGGGGGGGGGGGCCGGGGGGTGACACCCCTCAAATTTACACTTACAAGTTCAACATATTTCCGAATGAGACATTCCAGTTTTAGTTCAGTAGTCTCATGAGTATTCAGAACATTCTTCAAGGCTTTTGCTTCAGCATCCAAATCTGATATGACAAAAAGGTTTAAGATTGTTAATTAAAACAGCCAGTCATTGGACGGCAAACCACAGACTTTATGGATATTTAAAATGACAGAAGAAAAAAATCAAACTTTCTTGCAAAAATGGTAGTCTAACCTGTTTTAGAATTTCCAGATGATTTAACACATTCTTTAGTCATCATGGTCATGATAAAATGCTATAATGTAGTATAGGTTATGATTAAGAAAAAAGCCATCTAGAAATTAAAGTTGTAATTCAGGCCCTGAGAGGGGCCCAGTAACCAAATTTACTCTTTAAATCATAACCTTATCATATAAGTTTCACATTAGTTGCAAAACTGGACTGTGTCATACCCGAATCAGTCACAAATATACAAACAGACAGAGAAATGGGGAGTAATGACCTGGTTACCCTTTTTAGTACAATCAGACACTTCTTGGAAGAGGTATAAAAGCATGTGATATACCTGTTATTCCTTCTTCCCAGGTCGTAAAGGGAATCCTTTAAACTTAGTAACTCATGAGTCACGATTTAAGATAGACCTCAAGAAGGCATGTATGTCAATTATTCTGAATAAGCTGGTGCAAATGGGAACTTGGGAAGCCAGTATAAGTAGTCACTTGAAGGAACTCTAAATCATAAGATTATTGGTTCGATACATGCAGTCAGGGCCATCATTCCAAACAACAACAAACAACAACACTGTAAATCATAGTCTAACACTGATTTTAATGTTCACAAACTATTTAGTTAACAGCTGAGGTCTAAATTTCTAAGTAAATGGTAACAACCAATAAATAAAGAGAAATACATGAAAATATCGATTACCCTGAGCCAGTTACAAGACAATGTAAATGTTAGTTGCCATCAATACTGCCTGTGGGGCGCCCACGGCCCACGTTTCAATCAACTGAACAATCCTGAACCAGGAAAGTGTGATTGGCGGTATAATAAGGCAGTGGCGTAACAAATGGCCCTGCTGACCCTGCCTGTGCGGGGGGGGGGGGGGGGGCGGGGGAGGTGTGCCAACTAAGGGGTGTGCCAACTTAGGGGGCGCCAAATTGTCGTTTGAATGTGAGACAATTTTGAAAAATGTAACTGTAGTACTAGCAAAACTACACGTTTTGGTCTAGAAACACATTTTAAAGATTTGTCTAATTTTGTCTAAAATATGAAAACAAGACTTCGCTTCTCTCTACTTCAGAGCGTCCTCGTGGTCGTTTGAGGGGTCAGGGAAAGCAATTTACAGGCAGCTGTACTAGGCGATAACGATTCAATAGACATTTACCTGGCACAGCAGTCCCTGTGCCATGCCCTGCGCTCTTTTCAAGCTTTCTGAACGTGAGAGAAGCAAGCAATAGACTAGCAAGCTAGGTAAAATAGACATCAGCTAATTGGACACTAACTATACTATGTATTTTATACTGCGACGGCCCTTATTCCAAAATACTAGCTAGGTATCGACCCAAAAGCAACCAAAGGGGTTTTTACAGCATGTGATTGGTGATGAGTTTTAATACTTTCAAAACTACTATATAAAAAATAATTTGAGTAAATGGCATTCAACATGGCTGCTGGATTACTGATGACGACTGCATAAAGACAGACGAAACTAAAGTATGAAAGGCTGCGAGGAGTGTGAAGAATTGGAATTTATTTGTTGTTTTTTCTGAATCTGGTGTAGTATCATTGCTTCATTGGCTTTATTGAAATGATGAATGGCCCAAACAATGTGAATGATGTAATAAATCAAAACTTATTTAAATTAGAATGAATGGGGAAAATCTCTTTGGGATAAGTAAGTAAGTAAGTAAGTAAAGATTATGACATAACATCATCACAAGTGTCTACAAAATATCATTGCACTAAATAGAAAAATACTTTAAATAAATATACCTTTCTATCAACATTAATAATTTAATAAATTCAATTTTAACTAATAAAATCTAATACATTATCTATAAATAATTCATTAATACTTCCCAGTGGAATAAAGATTTATAAAACGCTTCTTTGCCACAAAAGGATGAAACCAAAGATATTCATTATGTCTCTCCTTATTGCTTAAATAACTCGGTCCTTCAATGCTTTCGGGTCGATACCTAGTATTTCTCACCTGTTAGCTAGGGGCTACGTGATAATGACTCACAACAACATCAGAGACACAATGGCAAATCTCCTTTGTGAGGTATGCTATGTCATGATGTGAAAGTTGAACCACAGCTACAGAAGGTAAATGAGGGTGACTGCCTCAACCCCAAGACTGTAACAGGTGACCAAGCTCGGCTTGACGACTTGACGTATCTGCTAGAGGAGTTTGGACTCCATTTGATAAGATCTTTCTTGACATTTATAGTTTTACACCCCAATTGCATATCAAACAGGACAAAAACTATTCAAGAAGTATACGAAGAGAACGAGAATGAGAAGAAGGATGAGTACTTAGAGAGAGTGTTGAACGTGGAGAAGGCCACCTTCACCCCGGCTGTATTTCTCACAACTGGAGGCATGTCCAAGGAGTGTAAGCGGTTTGTAAACAGAGTAGCAGACCTCTTAGCCAGGAAAAGGAAAGATAGATATTGCGGTGTGGTAAGGCATGTGAGGACTAAAATAAGATTCGCCATGTTAAGGACAACACTCATCGCTCTACGAGATTACAGATGCAAAAGAATGGACAAAAATATGAGACATCTTGTCAGAAGTCTTTTACAACCTCATCCCTGCCCCTGTGACATGATGGACTAAATGTGTAGCAACTGTGTCAGTCCAATGTAATCTAGTTGTATGATCGCACTTATTTTAATGAACAAGAGACCCATAAATAATACAATCAGATACTCAGCAGCAGTTTTCGTCCGTGTGATGTGTTGTCCTTCTCCTTTCTGTATCCCGTCGTTTTGTTTTGTAAATATTTTGTTTTTTAACAACATGTAGTAGTGTTTTAAGCAGATATTTCAATCGAACCTAATAATAACAAGTACAAATACTAGACACTTAACTTTTTAACGTGCTTCGGATCAATTTTTATTTTGTTTTGAATTCATTGGTTTAGGCTCAGCGCCGTTATTATAATTAATGACTAGCACCGCGCTGATAGAAATTTATGATTGAAATGAATTTTTGAATAGTATATAGTTAATAGTAAAAAGCGTATTTTACATAGCACTAGGCATATTCACCTAACAAGCGCTGCAGGCGCGCTTGTTTACCGCAGTGAGGCGGGGGCGCGCGCAAGGGCTATGGATAGAGCAATTAATCAATTGACGATGTCAATTCATCGCAGCTCGGCGCGGCACAGTAGCGCATCTCGCCGATCTAGCGATGTCGCTGTGAGAAGCCTCATGGAGTGCGCGGCGCGGCACATTGACCATTGTTAATGATCAGGCGCTACTTCGAAGAAATTTAGACGAGTAACATCCGTCAACGCGGCACAGTAACGCATCGCGCTACAAAGCAATTGAGCATATCTAATTTTTATGAGTTTATTATCGGATGTTTAAGTTTAACTATGTTTATTGTGATCTGATCCATTGATGTTATTAGTTGACGGATGTTACTCGTCTAAATTTCTTCGAAGTTGCACGCGCCGCTGCCTTCTCGTAGCAAGTCACAAGTGCTACTAAATAGCGCGCGCCGGGCCAGTCCATTTCTTAACAATAGACAAAATTTCTTCGAAGTAACGCGCGCCGCTTTCTACTCTTGCCTGAGGTGGCAAGTGCTACGAAAAAGCACGCACCGTGTCCATTAACAATGGACAAAAAATTTTACAGATTGGACATGGATGAAATTTTTGACGGATGTTACTCGTCTAAATTTCTTCGAAGTAGCGCGCGCCGGGCCAGACCATTAACAATGGTCAAATGAAATTTTTGCCCCGAAACCAATTGGTCAGTTAATTGATGATGGTATGAAACCAGATTGTGGTACTGGAAGTCAAAATCCCGAAGAAAATGACAAAATCATATTTGTAGGTTTATGACCTACCATGCACCAGGAAGCGCGCCGAGTTGGACTCATCCATCGTCGACGGTCCTGATATTTGGAACAACAATTTTACGAGTATCACCCGTTAAAATCATATTCAATATTGTCCCATTTTCAAGACGAAATTTTCAGGACCGAAATTTTGCAGTTTTTACTGAATTTCTCACCCTCAACCAAATTACCAAATTGTCAGTCACCTAAAGTGTAAAGATGGCACACGACACGATTGAGGTGCCAGAAGTTTGATTTCGGTCGGAGGAAGCTCACAACAGAAAGCTTAACAAAATGAATATTTGTGTTTTCCAACTTCTGTCCCATTTTCAATTTTGAAGAATTCTGAACACAAATTTGACAGATTTTATGAACTTTTTGCCCAGAAACCTTTGTTTTCGGTCGAAGGAAGCTCACATGTCACAGAAGAAAGCTTAACACTGGAAGTCAAAATCCAGAAGAAAATTGCAAAATCATATTGTTCCATTTTCAGTTTTTGAAGATGAAATTTAAAGGACCGAAATTTTACAGTTTTTACCGGATTCTTCTCAACCGACCAATCAGTCAGTAAACTATGGTATTAAACATTAAAACTAAATTTAGGCACTGGAAGTTAAATTCTAATAGTAAGCAGTAAAGCATATCTACTAAGATAAACATTAAACAATGAATACTATTACTCTATTGTATATAAATATTACATGTAAGTGTAACTGTAAGTCGGGTCAAATTATCATTACATTTACTCCAATTGGGTCGGATTTAAAGCAACAAATTTTTATAAATAAATATCCATAATATATTTATTAAATGTTAAATAATTTATAACCAATGACCATACTCCGACATTTTTTTGTATCAATATCATTATTACAAACAAAAGTAATATTACTAATAAAAGCGAATCATTATCGGATACACTTGCTCTTTTAAAAAAAGATCGATTCAAAAAATTGTCAATCTACTTTGTATTTCGAGTCTATACAACTACCAAAATTTTGTCCAAATCAATAATCGTCTCAGAAGTCTGTAGACTCAGGCAGGGGTGTAGGAAGCGGGGGGGGGGGGGGGGGGGTCAGTCTATCTATTAATTTAAGCTCCATAGCGCGCGATTGAAGCAACATTAGTAGATTCTCTAATAGAGGAAGCCAGTCTCATCACTGCTTCTTCAAGTTGCTTCTCAGGCACCAAACTGAAAGCGAGTCTCAAGTAGGGGGATTTTACGTCTTCC